AGTAAGTTCCTCGGCTATGAGCCTGAGAGGAACTGTAAGGTATCGGACTCTTGAGGTCCGAGGTAGTAAGTTCCTCGGCCATGAGCCTGAGGAACTGTATTTAGGCCAGATAGTCTGGGCTTAAAAAAAGAGAGAATATGTTTTCTTTTCTTAATATCTCTTTAGGGCTGCTTATACTACCCCCATTATGGAAGGTATTGCCCCTATGAAGGAAAGAAAAATATGTCTCGTTTGATGGCGGCGATGTAGATAATTTTCATGTAATTATATGCATTGGCACTCTTTGTGCTTTGGAGGAGTTTACTTGAAAATTTAACTTTCGACGTATTTAAGTTCGAGGTGATTTTCATGTAATTTTATTCATCGGCACTGTTTTGTACCTTAGAGAATTTTTTCATGAAAATTTAACCTTTAATGTATTTGAGGTAATTTTCATGAAATTTTATTCCTGTTGCAGCTCATTATGCGTTAAAGGAATTTTGAAGTCTTCGGACTCTTTAGGTCCGAAGATGAATTTTCTTCCTCGGCAGCTCGTTGTGCCTTTAGAGGAAATTTGAAGTCCTTGGACTCTTGAGGTCCAAAGATGAATTTTCTTCCTTGGCAGCTCGTTATGCCTTAGAGGTAATTTGAAGTCCTCGGACTCTTGAGGTCCGAAGATGAATATTCTTCCTCGACAGCTCGTTGTGCCTCAGAGGAATTTTGAAATCTGCGGACTCTTGAGGTCCGCAGATGAATTTTATTCCTTAGCAGCTCTGTGTGGCTTAGAGGAAGTTTGAAATATGCGGACTTGTGAGGTCCGAAGATGAATTTTATTCCTCGACAGCTCTGTGTGCCTTAGAAGAAATTTTACTTTTTGATACCTTCGGACTCTTGAGGTCTGAGGCTGCTTTTTGGTGTTCGGCTTGCCCCTAATTTTTTTTTTTTTTTTTCCCGACGTTCTGACACCACATATAACATAGCTGCATAGTTGGGCTATTTGCCACTTCAGTTGGGGATCAATCTTTCTTGCAACGCAAATAAACCAAACCTAAATATTATTAATCAATATACAAATAAGGAGCAAATATGAAGTTATTTGTAAACAAAGTTATCAAAAGCATGTAAAATAATTACATGTAGCATATAGCAACTGATTGAAGGAAATACAGAATTTTAAGAACTTCTTATATATCACAATTGAATTTTTAATAAGAAATTCTAATTAGCAGCAAGTACATTGAAATTACTCAATGTATGTAATATTTTCGGACTTTAAGTAATAGACCAAATAGCACAGCTCATGCATTCAACAATGCCTTTGGCCTCAGATCTTTTATTCAAGTATAAATTTCAGAAGTCAATGTAGAGGGTCAAACGCTTTTTAGTTGAGTATTGACGAAGTAGTGCATCCCTCTAAAGAGTCTGAACCAACAATATCGGGTGTTGTGGTTCGAAGGTTCTGATCAATTATCAACCTTCAGTGAACAACTAATGGATATAATCTAAAAGTCTGATCAAAGTTAATCGTGAGCGAAACAGCTAGTGGATATGACTGAAATTGCAATGCTAAAAATCCTCGATGAGAGAAAGAGGGATGAATTCGTAGATCTACTATAATATTGACAGTCACACACACACACATATGTATATATATATGAGGAGAAATGCAAATTAAGTGTGAATAAAAGTGATTTCTGATCACAACCGAAGAAGGAGAGACTAAAGAATCTGTTGAGTGCTGACGGAGACAGAATCTTACGGTGGCCTCTCATTTATATTTTTACACAATAGAGTGTGCCGAATAAACAATTTGGTTCTTATAGGTTATACCAAATTGAGTCATAAATCTTTATGTATAATGATCGTCTACATGAATTACAAAATATGATTGCATTATGTGTAAATATATATATAATATTGATATATGTATATATATATATATATATATATATATTACTATGTATTTAATTTTTAATAACAATTTGTATTATGAAAAGCTTAACCCAAATTGTAAAAATCAAAGTTGGGAAACTTATCTGATTGGATGTTTGAAATACCCGGCCAATAAGTCTGCTGGAGTTTGTGGCGTTGTTGATGGAAAGAACCTTGTGCGCCGGCTTGCGTTTTTAGACGTCGGCGCTTGTTATATGGAGGCCTTTGACCATGAGAGTTGTTGTTGGAGAGGACTTGGGTTCAAACCCTGGACTTGAAGATGTTAATTTCAAGTCACATTGCTGGACTTGGAGATTTTAATCTGAAGTGTCGTAACTTTGGTGGGGATATATTTTTATACGATTCCCACAGACGGCGCCAAAGTGTAGGTGCAAAATTTCGCTCAACCAATAATGATTGGGAAAAATAAAACAACTCACTCAAAAAACAATAAAAATAAATAAGAACAGTGTATAGAAGCGTAAATTGCTTGATCCCTTTATTGGAGGTCTAAGCCTCTATTTATATACAAAAGATTGTAAAATTATGGTAGGACTCGCGTTGTTTGTCCTCCAATTCTTTCTATATAAACATTATTTACTAATAAAGTTCTTTCCATTGTCTAATTTTCCATACATAGAACTTGCCTTGTACAGAACTTCCTATCTCAGAATTTTCCTTCTACGGTAAATCCTTCAACTGGTAGGACTTGTGCATTCTTGAGTAACTGGGCTGAACATACTTTGATCCGGCTGGGCTTGAGTAACGGACCAGATGTTAAATATTAACATGTTGGGCTGATAATCTCTTAATTCGGGCTTCAACAGGGCTAAAGGTCATATAACAATAGTATTGGGCTTGTGAACAGTGATCTTGGACTAGTATCAAACTCAATTTGGGTTTGAGCGAGGTGGGCTTTATAAACTTATCAAGGATATGTTTATATTTATGATGACGTGGATTATTCTCATTAGAGGGGATTTTTTCCCTCCACACTATCAGTTTGGGGAAGAGTTGCTTTGATATTGTTTGCAATAGTCATTCGCATAAACATAATATTAATCTATTCAATTTTTCTCAAACTTTATGGAGAGACTTTTCTTTCTCACTGCTTTCACCAGTAATAGCAGTAGGTTTCTCAATTTGAAATGCTAAATCAAGATCTAGCACACCTAAGTTGAACTGAACTTACTCATTCCATTCTGAGAAATTAGTCCCATTGAGAATTGGAACAGATGAAGCATGTGAATTCACTGAAACAGGAAGAGTTACTGCAATAAAATGATCATAATAAGGTAAATGCTCATAACATTAATACTTTGAAATAACAACACATATAAAAATAAATAAATACATTATACAACTATGGTACCCCTTTGGGTAGTAACCACAAAATATAAAAAAAAAAAATGATGCTTAGATGTATTTATTTATATGCAGCTTCATTGGTGATGCACTAATTAATTAAATAGACAAGTTACCTTTGGATATCCTATATCTACCCAATTAAAAATTACATACAACCCCTTAATATTTATTTAATCACTTGAAAATTAATTCCCTTTGAGGAATTATTTCTAATAATTGAATAAACCTAATATTCATGAATTTTACAAAAAATTATAAACATCATTATTCATGAAATATTACAATTATGTCTACCACTAAAATTAATATCCATTAATCATTATGGTTAGGCCACTTTGGTAGCTACCAATCTTTTTATAATATAAATATTTAATTATCTAGTGATAAAATATATATACTGTGAGGTATATTAATAAGCATATGTTTAATCATGTAAAAAACAACAGCATTACAATTCACAGTCTCGATTTGCACAGCAGAATCAAAAGTAAAAATTTGCCACTCTGTATCATTATACGAAAAAAAGCAAGCAGTTTGTTTTGTCTCTGTATCACTGTACGAAAAAACAACAAGCTTGTTTTGTCTCACTATATAATCTAAGTAATCATATCTATTTGTTGTTTAAATTTAAATATACAACTTTCAACTTACTGTACACTTACCATTATGTACGAAAATCACACAGCAAGCTTAAATTGTCTTATTTGTCTCATTATGATATGTACATATATATAAGTTATATAACTATCAACAAAATAATTAAGTTCGGAAATCAAGGCCTGATTTAACATAAGCCAACAAAACTAAATAAAACAAACAAATCCGTAAATTTAAATAAGGAAAACCACTATTGGATTCATGATTTAGAAAAATTAGATCGGATCTGTTATTAAAACAATGTCCGAAAACAATAAATTAAAAATATATGGATCCGTTATTAAAACAGTGTCCGAATACATTAAATTAAAATTATATATATAATTTTAAATTTAATTATATATATAATTTTAAATTTAAACTTACACATATTATTTATGCAAGGATAATAAAAAAATAATGAGTTCCAAAAGCTCGGATACTACATGTAAATTCTAATTAATTTGTGTTACACACTAATCACAAATTATCATAAATTTCTAAATCTTGAAACTTCAATTAATTTGACACCCTTATAACACATAAGTAAATATAATTAGATATACATACCTCGATTCATAATATCAAACCTTATTGAAATTAAATTTAACGTCCAGATCCTTTAACCACGAACCAATCTACAATTCTGATCAACCGGTAAAGGCGGAAACTGGTTTCTCTCCCTTGACCTTTTGCACACATAAAATTTTTACGTGTTGTATCCTTAATCGTACTTTTATAAAGGCAGAGAGAGAACCAGTTTTCCTTTTAGTAATATAATTTTACTTTCCATCAAAGTAAGAAATAAGAAAGGAAAATACTTCTCCAATAAGTAATGACCAAAAAGGTAATTATGAGTTAATCAAAAAATAAATAATATTAATTGATATTTATTTATTTAGCCACCAAATAATATGTCACATGTCCAAATCATATAGGCCACAATTAAATAAATAATTTTACATAAATAAGAATCAAACAAAATCAAACCACATAGAGAATTTGTCCACTCACGAAAATACAACAAAATAAACCAAAATCAAACCAGATAGAGAATCATATATGTAAAAGATATATACATATTCTTACATAAGCTTCTTAAGGTCATTGACGAAGATTGAAGCAAACGCATCCATTGTGATCTTTGGGAGGGACACACCAAACTCCACATCTCCCTGAGAATCCCTGCACTCACTGATGGAGAAAGCCCCGGTAAAATCTATGGAAATAATTTCGGTCTTTCGGGGCCTTCCCCACCCAAAATCCGGCTCATAAAGGCTGATCTTGGGCGACCCTGCTATCGACCGTAATCGATCCATTTTCAAACTCTTCAATTCGGAGAGCCAAGTCTCCGCACCTTTCAACACTCCCTCCGGCTCGTGAAGCCTCTCGGCAATGGCCGCTCCGATCGACTCTGCTGCTACGAAAAATCCTTGTTTTTCTTCCATTAGTTGGCCATGTGTCGCTCTTGCAAAACAAAATGCTAAGCAGTTACCAAAGTAAGTTGCGGGCATGGGTGGATCCAAACGTCCTCGACAATCTGCTGTAAAACCAAAGTACTCCAATTCATCGTCGTCGTCGTCATCATTCTTGCTGTCAACTCTAGTGCTTGCCCGTGATTTTAAAATGCAAATCCACATATATTGTATCTAGCCCAATTGTGTCCTTTATCACGGTCCTGTCACAAAATGGGAGGTACCTTCTACCTAACAATTCCGCATCACTCCACCCAAATTTAGAAATGGAAGCCCATGACTTCATGAAACCGTGGAAGGCCTTACCGTCGGCCAGAACATGGTGGTAGGCGAACCCGAAACAAATGCCGGACTCTGGAAAAAGCGTGACCTGAATAGCTGCGAGCGGGACTACTTCTACTGTTGTCACCGAATCGGACCAGTTAGTAATCTGAGGGATGAGAAGGTGAAATTGATCGGCATTTCGTTCTTGATTTCCTGTGAGGTAATTGAAATCGTCACTAGACTCGGAAAAGACGAGTGAGACCGAGTCACCCTCCGCGTACCGGATTTGGGGGTTGCTAGAATTTGACGAGGGAAGTATGAGATTGGCAGCAAGAGGGAAAAAGTGTTTGAGAGTGAGGGAGAGTGAGTGTTTGAGATGAGGAATGAGGGTGTCCGTGAAATGGGTCTTAGAGTGATGATGGAACTCGTAGAAGAGAAGCTTTTGTATGTGAGGCAGGGGTATAAACGGAATATCGAAAAATGTGAGGGGGAGAAGCTGATCGGCCACTGTACCGGGTGGTGGCGATATCCGGCAGTGCTCGATAACGTTCATTGTGTTGGCCTGAGGAATTTGTTGCGTTATTGGATCTATTGGTGGATGTTTCATTATATATATATAAAAGATGAGATGTATATATATATTATTTACATAAATATATATTTATATGTCGTCGTTAACATATTAATGCAGTCTAATGTGAGGTCTACATTACATATATTGGGTATAAATATTTATACGTTAATGTCTACATTACATCTTATCTTTTATGTGTAAATATATAGTGTGTGTGTGTATATATATATATATATCTATAGATATATGTGAGGTCTACATGTGAGGTCTACATTACATATAATGGGTCAAGCCAAAAAATAATTCACAGTTCTGTTACTTTCAATCCGGCTGTATTTCATTACTATATGTCAATGTTAGCATATTAATGTAGTCTAACAACCTCCACCAATATACTCCCTTAGTCTTAAATTATATGTCCATTATTTAATAATTTACTATCATCAATTAAATGCCATATTTAAAAAAGTTAAAGTTATTTTATTTTATTTTATTTATTTATTTATAACATTACTATTTTAATTTCCTTCCATTGAACCTATAAAAAGTAAATTACGAAGATATTTAGTAATTTATTTGATCAATAAAAAAAAATTAAAATACATCCCTTTAAAATGTTAGATTTTAAAAAATAAAAAGTTTAATTTGGAATGAAAGGAGTACATAAGTATTATATGGAATAGTTAGGTGGATGCATATGATACAAAAAAAAAAAAAAAAATGATATTCTTTTCCCACTCTCTCAAAAAACAGGCAACACAAAAGAAATGAACTCTTTCTGGAACTATATTTAGGTGGGCAACTTAACAGAAAAAACGATATTTTGGTGGGCAATTCTCTCTCCTCACACACGACCTAACACAAACTATTCTGATCTTAAAATTAAGAAAAAAAAAAAAAAAAAACAAAACAAAAAACAAAAAAAAAACACTTAAAAAGATAGAGATAATAGAGAGGGGGAGATGTAGTTGCTGAATTTGAAATGAAAAAAAATAATAATAGTGTTACAAGAAAGTAGTGAGAGAGATAGAAAGAGAGACATCTATGAGTATATGAGAGAGAGAAAGAAAAAAACAGAAAACGAAGAAAAGGACTGAAAGAAGGCATATTTGCTGAATTTGAAACCAAAAGAAAGGGAGGATTACAAGGCACTAGTAATGAGAGAGAGACGTCTATGCGAGGGTGAAGAAAAAAGAAAAAGAAAAAAAAAAAGAAAAGAAAAGAAATAAATTAAAGAGGAGGTTAAAAGGCAATAATGAGAGAGATGCAGAGAATTGTGCCTACCTTGGCCTATGAACACATTCCATTTTCTATGGATATATAATAATATTATCCGTGGGATAGGCTTCACATGAAGCGAGAAAAGAAGTGATAAAAAATTTAAGAGTAACTGCAAAAATAACAAAATTAAGTCACAAATAGTGATAATGGGAGCGAAAGTGCATTCAAAGTGTAAGAACGGGAGTACGTTTGAAGCGTGAGAGTAACACCCAAAGATTGTGTGACTTAGATCCCAATCAGGTAGGGACCTAATGAAGGTGTCCCACTGAATTGGAGTATTATTTTTTTGTTATCATATACTTTATTAATTTCCTTTTTCTAAACTATATACCTATAAAATTTTAAAATTACCCACTTTTTTTTCTTTTGTTATTATATACTTATTAATTTCTTTTTCCTGAATTATAATCCTATAAAATTTTAAAATTGCCTCATTAAAATTATTAAAAAAAAAACTCCACTATTGCCAAACTCCATGATTTAAACTTTTTTATTTTTATTTTTATTATTGTTAAAGATCGGCCTCCTTTCACACAATTTTCTGAGTTTATCTCCAACCGTTCATACATTTTTTATTTTAGAAAAAAGAAAAAAAAAAAAATTGGATAGAGAGAGAGAGAGAGAGAGAGAGAATTTAGACCCATTTGGGCATAAAACAAAACTGTGCTTAAGCAACCAAAAAATAACAGCCCAATTTCACCCAGTTCATAGGCCACAGCCCATCTCTGATTGATCATATTCAATGCAGACCTCATATTAGAGGTCCCAACAGATCTCATAAGATTCTCAACCCGCAGGGTCAATTATCCTCGAAGGTCCTACGCAATCACTTGGAAGGAACCACTCCTTTCACCGGAGAAAATATATTCTAAAAGTTATTCTGTACAACGGTTGTGTCGAGTCATTGTTACAATCAACCACTACAAAATTTTGATCCCTAACTTATGTTTTTGTATCCGTCTCTGAGATTTGGCACTCAGGCAGCATAAATCTCGAGCATACTACCAATTTAGCTATCGCACTCTTGTAATTTAAGTTTAGTTATAAATATATATAATATTTCTGGGTCGGGTTGGAGTTCAGGCCTCATCTATATTAACCCAAGACTAGACTGAATTAAATTCAGGCTCAAAATTTATAACCTAAACTCAAACCGAAATTCAAAAAATATTGCTCAAGACCAAAAATTTCGAACTGGGTTCGGGTTATTTCAGGTTGGGTCTGCCCTAGTTGCAGCCCTAATTATAACTAATAATATCGGCACATATACATGATTGGGGTGGAGTTTCAAAATATTTTTTTCACTTTTTATAATATATTATTATTATTATTATTTATTCCAAAAAATGTGTAAGACACAACACATCTCCCAAACTATTAAACATGTATTCCTTTCTCTCCCCTCCTATACTCAATAATAAAAAATAAATAAATAAATAAATATATAGTGAGACCTCAATAGGAGAATGAGTTGTTAAACTAAAAGAGAAGAAAAAAAAATAAAAATAAAAATAAAAATGAAGAAAAATAAATGGAGAGATAGACCACTATGAGAGTGGGAGTTGCTAAATTTTAAACGGGCCAAAAGAAAATAAATCGTTATGACACTTTGTGTGTGTGAGAGAAAAAGGGTGTTTGCTAAAATCGAAATCAAAAGCGATAAACAATAATAATAATAATAATTAGGGGCATAAAACACTCTTAAAGTATATATCGCGTAATACTTTTATTCTTATTTTAAAAAGTGTGCAAAAAATATCCTTAATCTTTTCACATTATGCAAAAATATCCCATTATGTACATATTACCTTTTTTAAAAATAAAAAAACTTTTTTTTCTATATATATTTCTAAACTTTTCTTTTTTCATTTTTAAAATTTTGAAAATTTGTAAAACATGGATTTGAATTTTTTGAAATTTCAATTTACTGTTTTCTACTATTTTATTTTATTTTATTATTATTATTTTTTTTCGTACCAACACTGTTAAAAAAAAAAAAAGGAAAAAAAAAATCCCAATATCAGTGTGCAGTGATTTTCAGAGTTTGGAACAGATTTATTTTCTTTAGTTTGTACTTTATTTTTATTTTTTATTTCATATTTTATATTTTTATCTTTACTTCCTATGAGGTAATTGAAATCGTCACTAGAACTCGGAAAAGATGAGTGAGACTGAGTCACCCTCCGCGTACCGGATTTTGGGGTTGCTAGAATTTGACGAGGGAAGTATGAGATTGGCAGCAAGAGGGAAAAAGTGTTTGAGAGTGAGGGAGAGTGAGTGTTTGAGATGAGGAATGAGGGTGTCAGTGAAATGGATCTTAGAGTGATGGAACTCGCAGAAGAGAAGCTTTTGTATTGGATGTAGGGGTTTAAACGGAATGTCAAAAAATGTGAAGGGGAGAAGCTAATCGGCCACTGTACCTGGTGGTGGCGAAATCCGGCAGTGCTCGATGACGTTCATACAATTTTTATTTTAGAAAAAATAATAATAATAATAAAAATAAAATAAAATAAAATAAAAAATAAAAGTTGGAGGGAGAGAGAGAGAGAGAATTCAGACCCATTTGGGCATTGAACAAAACAATGCTTAAGCAACCAAAAAATAACAACCCAATTTCACCCAGTTCATAGGCCCCTGCCCATCTCGGATTGATCATATTCAATGCAGACCTCATATTAGAGGTCCCAACTGATCTCATAAGATTCTCAACCTGCATAGTCAATTATCCTCGAAGGTCCTACGCAATCACTAAGGAACCACTCCTTTCACCGGATAAAATATATTCTAAAAATTATTCCTTACAACAGTTGTGTCGAGTCATTATTACAATCAACCACTACAAAATTTTCATCCCTAACTTATGTTTTTGGATCCGTCTATGGGATTTGGCACTCAGGCAGCATAAATCTCAAGCATACTACTAACTTAGCTATCGCACTTGTTGAGGGAGAAATCTACGCGATCCGATGCGACACCGTTTTCCTGCAAAAAAAGAGAGTAAAAGATCGATAAATCTTAACAGCACCGGTGTGGTGCCCTGCCAAGAGCTCTCCGACGATCAAGTCAGTCACCGGAGGTCTAAAAGAAAGGCAGAGATTTAATAATAGTTTTTTGTCGTACCTTTATTGACTAGTAGAATCTCCTTCTTATAGTCGCTCTCCTTTAGTTCATTTGCAGGATCAGAGGAGATCTGCTTGTGCCAGATCAGAGGAGATCCGTTTGTTGCCAAATTTGTCGGGAATATGATTTACCCCTTTGACTTCCTCAAATTGTGTCAAGATTATCCTTACCGTCATATTTCATCATCGTTGAGGTAATAAAATATTATCATTCTTATCCAATGGAAATATCATCATTCGAAAGTCGAAGAGGTCTAGCGACTGGTCAACACTTAGTTGCCTCTGTCGTTAGGTCAAGGTAGGTTATGTTTATTTTTCCCTATCAGTTGCCCCCCATTCCCAAGTTTGCTCGTCTAGCTTTGGGAATGTGAATATTTTTTTTTTTTTTTTTTGCCCTAGGCACTGTTCCTCTCGAAAATAGTAATTTTTTTTTTGGTACCCTTAGGAACTCTTCCCTCGGGTAATGTTCCCTTGGGTAATCTTCCCTTAGGTACTCTTCATTTGGGTTCTATTCCAGTAGGTACTATTCCCAATAGTGGAATTAATACAGATACCAAATCAAGGTTCTATTTTGGAAGG